GAACAGTACAAAATTATAAACAAAGGCTGTTCATGACCCCTTTAATGGGTTGAGTCAGAATCAAAATGGAGACCTGAAGAATGTCAAGTCCACGTCTAGACTGAGTCAGAATGCTCCAGAGTCCATGACAAGACTCTGACTCCAGATGGACTCAAATGCTAGAAGAGTGCAAATGGGATTTGAGAGCAACAAAGATCAGGTTTTTCAATAAATAATGGTTTAACTTAATGTATTTGCTTCAGACAAAGCTTTTAGAAAACCCAAGTCCAAATGCTCCAGAATCCATGACAAGACCAAGTCCATGAAGCCATGGTCTTAGACTCGAGATGGACTCAAGTACTACTGTAGGTTCTTAAGTGGCGCACCAAGTTTGGATATGCGGAGTACAAATGGGATTTGAAAGCTACAAGACCAGGTTTTTCAGTAAATAATAGTTTAACCCTGTGTATTTTCCTCACAAATCAGAAGACTTAAAATATAGTGCACTAGTTGTAAAGACCACAATTATGGAGCTTGCATGTTCTTTAGAATTTCTCTCTTTGTATTAAATATGCTTACAAGTAAAATGCAATTCTTGAAAATAACACTGAAATGGTCACTTTTGTTTTGTGGCACACATCCATTTTTCAACTTTCAGTTTTAATTCTAAGACAAACTGTCTGCTAATCATGCAGAATTGGTATTCAGCTCACAGTCAAAGCTAATCCAGTGTCACTTTAAGATGAAATATAGATGAATATGTTGTGTCCTGATGCCAGCTATATGACCATAAATGACCTTGAGAAAGTGGCCAGACTCTCTGGGGCTGCTTATGATTCCGGATGAAAGACAAATTGATTGTCTCTGTGCTTTCAGCATTGAAATTCAGCCACTGCATATCTTTAAAGAGCCAAGTCATTGCTAATGCACAGTGTCCCTGTCTTTAAAAGACTGACTTGTGATCAGGCTCCCCCAAGAGAAGGTCTCAATTGAAAAAGGTCACATGTGTATAAAATTAAGGCACTTTCTGCTCATCAGGAATACAAGCCCCGCTCTGTCCCCAAAGTAACTGGATTTGAAACTGTACAAAAAAAATGCATAAATAAATGTTGGCGTCAAGGCGGCTGACAACATCAAGTGCACTTGCAGGGGAGACTTTATTCTTAGGTTATGGCCGATTTTCCCATCTCTTAGTTTTGTGCTCAGTTTCATATTGTGTGTGTGTGTGTTTTGTTTGGATCAATGCTTTTTCTAAATGTCACAAGTTCACATCCTGGAAATTGCTTTTTATCTCAGAGTGCATTTGCAGTGTTATTTTTGCCCAAAGCTTTACCCTTTCCTCTGAGAACAGGAGTTATCAGGAAAACTGCCGGCTCCATTAATGTGAATTAGAGGTTATCGCGTGTACCGTTCGAATCAGAAGGGTCATCTCACTGTTGCGCTGTCGTTTAATATTTTTGTCATGAAATACAAATGCAAAGTCAAAAACACACTGCCGTGCAACTAAATTGATATTGACCAGCATATTTTATGTCACAGCGGTCTTTAAAGCATCCATCATGTAACTAATGATCAGTGCTATTTTCCATTCCTGCATTTCTTGATAAGGATCTTGCATTGTGTTGCTATGGCCGCTTCGTTTCCCAGCATGCGGCCCATCTTTGTTAAAGCCTGTATTAGAAGTCTCCTTTATGGCAGGAAAGTGTGATAAGGCTTAGCTGGTGGTTCGCTCACCTGGAGCGAGAGGGTCTTTCTTTAATTTATGCTGTGCCATTGAAAAATCAACCCTCAGTGACTGCTGGAGAAAATGGACAAGATGAGATTCACATCTTTCATTTTGTCTGTCTATGTTGTTTTTGCTAACACCAAGAAATGAATACTTGTTTGAGGACCGTTTCGGACAAAAGAACCATTTTCCCTGTCAAAGAGGTTTTCTCTTAAAGGAATGTTTTTGTCTGAGGTTTTTCAGTAAATAATAGTTTAACCCTGTGTATTTTCCTCACAAATCAGAAGACTTAAAATATAGTGCACTAGTTGTAAAGACCACAATTATGGAGCTTGCATGTTCTTTAGAATTTCTCTCTTTGTATTAAATATGCTTACAAGTAAAATGCAATTCTTGAAAATAACACTGAAATGGTCACTTTTGTTTTGTGGCACACATCCATTTTTCAACTTTCAGTTTTAATTCTAAGACAAACTGTCTGCTAATCATGCAGAATTGGTATTCAGCTCACAGTCAAAGCTAATCCAGTGTCACTTTAAGATGAAATATAGATGAATATGTTGTGTCCTGATGCCAGCTATATGACCATAAATGACCTTGAGAAAGTGGCCAGACTCTCTGGGGCTGCTTATGATTCCGGATGAAAGACAAATTGATTGTCTCTGTGCTTTCAGCATTGAAATTCAGCCACTGCATATCTTTAAAGAGCCAAGTCATTGCTAATGCACAGTGTCCCTGTCTTTAAAAGACTGACTTGTGATCAGGCTCCCCCAAGAGAAGGTCTCAATTGAAAAAGGTCACATGTGTATAAAATTAAGGCACTTTCTGCTCATCAGGAATACAAGCCCCGCTCTGTCCCCAAAGTAACTGGATTTGAAACTGTACAAAAAAAATGCATAAATAAATGTTGGCGTCAAGGCGGCTGACAACATCAAGTGCACTTGCAGGGGAGACTTTATTCTTAGGTTATGGCCGATTTTCCCATCTCTTAGTTTTGTGCTCAGTTTCATATTGTGTGTGTGTGTGTTTTGTTTGGATCAATGCTTTTTCTAAATGTCACAAGTTCACATCCTGGAAATTGCTTTTTATCTCAGAGTGCATTTGCAGTGTTATTTTTGCCCAAAGCTTTACCCTTTCCTCTGAGAACAGGAGTTATCAGGAAAACTGCCGGCTCCATTAATGTGAATTAGAGGTTATCGCGTGTACCGTTCGAATCAGAAGGGTCATCTCACTGTTGCGCTGTCGTTTAATATTTTTGTCATGAAATACAAATGCAAAGTCAAAAACACACTGCCGTGCAACTAAATTGATATTGACCAGCATATTTTATGTCACAGCGGTCTTTAAAGCATCCATCATGTAACTAATGATCAGTGCTATTTTCCATTCCTGCATTTCTTGATAAGGATCTTGCATTGTGTTGCTATGGCCGCTTCGTTTCCCAGCATGCGGCCCATCTTTGTTAAAGCCTGTATTAGAAGTCTCCTTTATGGCAGGAAAGTGTGATAAGGCTTAGCTGGTGGTTCGCTCACCTGGAGCGAGAGGGTCTTTCTTTAATTTATGCTGTGCCATTGAAAAATCAACCCTCAGTGACTGCTGGAGAAAATGGACAAGATGAGATTCACATCTTTCATTTTGTCTGTCTATGTTGTTTTTGCTAACACCAAGAAATGAATACTTGTTTGAGGACCGTTTCGGACAAAAGAACCATTTTCCCTGTCAAAGAGGTTTTCTCTTAAAGGAATGTTTTTGTCTGCTTTGCGTCAAACGTTCTGCTGTTTTCCATCTAGAAATTGGTCTCTACTCAACAATTGGGGAAAAATACAAATGGTTAGAGCATTACAGTTTAACAATTGGTGTGTGAATCAACATGGTCTTAAGAAAATTGGATAAAATTGTATGAATTAAACAGTATTGTAAACTAAAGGGTAAAAAAGCAGAATATGTCTCTGGATGTTTTTAAAAAGAAATATTATTATTTGCGTCTTGGCAGATGTGGTCACTATGAACTGTCATTGTGTAAAAAGGGTATATTGCTTAAGGTTTTTCATTTTTGGGTGAACTATTACTTTAAATACCACTAAAAGATGAAAAAGCATTGCAATTTTTAATAATTGGTATGTTAATTAGCATGAATTATGAATTAAAAAGAATTGTAAAAAGTATTTAAAAGAAGCATGGAATATAACATGCAAGTCATATGGGCTATTTTTTTATTTTACATTTAATTTTATTTCGTCTTTTTTTCTTTTTAACCTTGGCAGATGTGGTCACTATAAACTGTCATTGTATTAAAAACACACCAAGAAAAACAAATGTGTGTATCGGCAGCATAAGATTTTTCATTTGATTGAACTGTTTCTTTAAATATACACTTAAAAGTAGCAAAAATGTAGCAAAAATTATCAAGTTATGAACATTTCCGCATCTCTACGCAAAGAGACTAAATCTTTAGTCATATCCAGAAAGGAAATTAAGGGACTATGTTTCTGAAACCAAGCGAATACCTAAGGGAATTGTACAGTATTAAAGAATGTCTCATACTGTATGATATCTTTCTCATTTTTCTGCCTTCTCCAAACAATGCTGTTTTTACCTTTATCTTTCTTTCATTCTCTGAGATACAAGCTCTTTGTCATTGTCTTACAATGATTGGCATGTTTATTCTCTCTACCTGTTTTTTTTTTTCCTGCGCTACAATCCTGCTGGTCTGCGGCATATGTGCCAGCTTGATTACTTGAATTTGTGAAGGTACTTACACCGGCAAAGTTTGATCCTTTCTTTCCTCATGCTTGAGACAGAAATGAAAGACAACAGGATGAAAAGATCCTCTCATAATGCGCTTTTGAGACTACAGCACCATAGAATTACTATTCATATCACTATTCATGTCGCTGTGGCTGGTCTCAGAAAAACAGGTTTTGAGCACTTCTTGTTCTGATACGGGGTTCTACATTTAGTTTTTACATTAATAATCACCATAAATTATTAATTGGTTATTATAAGTGAACCAGTGAAAACTATTACAAACTTGATCGTCATAAAATCTAATTTACATGAGGACATCGACCACCTCTACATCTAAATTATAATTAATCTACTCAGAATGGAACCCAAACCTCAAAGTGTAGATGTTTCTTCTAAAGAACATGAGAAGTGTATAGCAGATATAGTGGTGCATAATGGGTCACAAACCAAAAACGTTGAGAATCCCTGAGGTATAATGGTATTAAACAGGGATGAGGCTGTTGTGAAGAGTGTTGGAGTACTATCTGCTTGTCCTCTTCTGTGACAGGGCTGCGATCTCCCCGAGCAGAGCACGGTTCATGTGGTTCTGCCCCCGTCCACCTCGAGCCAGCACTCTGAGCTGGTCCAGCAGCACAGGCCAGGCAGGGGGATGGAGAGCTTGACCCGACTCGACCTCAGTGGCTCCCGTCTGACCAGCGTGTCTGAAGGCCTGGCTGTCATTCTGGAGACAGATGCGTCCAGACAAGGGAACTCCATTGGACACACAGGTACAGGGCGTAGGTCTTTGTTTGTATTGTTTGAGTCATTGTAGATACAATGTTTTTTAAATCCAGTGGCAGCTGATGCTTTATAATAGTGAAGAAGCACCAATGACGCTTCTTAATGGAACAATGTGTAGCTTTTTTTATCATTTGGTGTCTAAATGCTACTAAAGATGAAGTAATCAACATGGGCTCATTGAAAACAATGTGCTTCTATCTACTATACGAAAAAACTATGCATACAACTCACTGCAGTTTCCAGCAGAATACTAGAAAGATTATCAGTTAAAGGAGTAGTTCACTTCCAGAACAAAAATTTACAGATAATGTACTCACCCCCTTGTCATCCAAGATGTTCATGTCTTTCTTTCTTTCTTCAATCGTAAAAAAATGTTTTTTGAGGAAAATATTTCAGGAATTATCTCCATATAATGGACTTCTATGGTGCCCACGAGTTTGAACTTCCAAAATGCAGTTTCAATGCAGCTTTAAAGGTCTCTAAACGATCCCGGCTGAAGAAAACGGGTCTTATCTAGTGAATTGATCGGTCATTTTCAAAAAAAAAAAATGTAAATTTATATACGTTTTAACCTCAAATGCTCATTTTGCGTAGCTCTGCAACGCGCATGCGTTCTCTGTGCAGTCCCGTTCGAAACAGTTAGGGTTGGTCGAAAAACTCCCATCTCATTTTCTCCTCCAACTTCAAAATCGTCCTACATCGCTGCAGAAGTACCAACCCAGTGTTTACAAAGTGAACATGCAAAGAAAGTCAAATACCCTTTATATAAAAAAAAGTTAAACAGCGATGTAGGATGATTTAGGACGATTTTGAAATTGGAGGAGAAAATGAGATGGGAGTTTTTCGACATACCCAAAACTGTCATGAACCGGAATGCACAGAGTTCACGCAGAGCTAGAAAAGACGAGCATTTGAGGTTAAAAAGTATATAAATTATAATTTTTTTTAGAAAATGACCGATCGTTTCGCTAGATAAGACCCTTTTTCCTCGGCTGGGATCGTTTAGAGCCCTTTGAAGCTGCATTGAAACTGCATTTTGGAAGTTCAAACTCGCGGGCACCATAGAAGTCCACTATATGGAGAAAATTCCTGAAATTTTTTCCTCAAAAAACGTAATTTCTTTACGACTGAAGAAAGAAAGACATGAACATCTTGGATGACAAGGGGGTGAGTACATTATCTGTAAATTTTTGTTCTGGAAGTGAACTACTCCTTTGATAAAGACTTATTTTTGTACGGTTCCTTGAGAGCGCAAATTCCAAAACAGTGCTAATGGGCGTCGACATTTCTGCGGGTTATTTACTGACAATGCGCAAATTAAATAACACAGACCAACATAACGACCAATGCAATCTACCAAGTGCAGCGCAAATTAGCATAAGGATATTTTCGGATTCGGATATTGTGTTCTTCTGCAATTCAAAATAAATGAATGCGTATGGAAAAAAAAATCCTCTCCCTTCTACCACGTGCTCTCTGTTCTCTGCGGTGCCTCCTCCTAGCAACAACAAATGCAGCCATTTCAAGCGCAAAATAGTTTTAAGTCATGCTTTTTTGGTGGGCGTTAAATAATGGCGCAAATTCCAGTAATTTGACAAGCGCAAACGTTAGTAAATTGCGTTGCGCGATTCATTTTAATACTCTCCTCCCATAAATTTTGCATTTGAAAGGGAAACTCCTAGAAATGCATATTCAATAAGGTCAGGTGCAAAAATAACTGTGTCCACGCCTTTTCAGCTCTAATTCTTCACTGCACATCTTTAGTAAATCCTGAAAGTACTATTTTAACGCCAAAAGACGGTTTGTGCTGGCACAAGCTGCTAGTAATTCTGGCCCTAAGTTATGACTTCAAAACATTTTTACCATAGTGCAAGATTGATAATCCAATGCGTTTTGACATTTGCATCACATAATCAGCTTTACATGTATGGCTTTTCTCAGATGGTAAACTTGCTTGGTAGCACACCTGGTACAGCATTGAACTTACGATGCAGAGCGCTCAAATATGACTGCTAAAAATGTGGCACATCATGCAAGAATCAACAAGCATGTTTTTTTTTCTAATGAGCTTATTTGCTGATATTCAAATGCTGTCTTTTATTTGAGTTTAATAAGTACCATTATTGTTGCAGTTTTATTCACAAGTAAAACACAGTAAAAAATCTAGTTAAAATAGCCCAATGTCCAGTTTTTTACAACATTATTAAAACAGTTGAATTATTTATAAATGTATTTATTGATATATTTTATACTAAATTAATATGTTTTTAAATCTTTTTCATTCATCTGAGTTTTGAATTGATTTGATTTAAAGGACAGTTCACGGATATTAAAACCTAACAATTCAAACACCATTTTTGTTGCAATAAACTTTTAAAAAATCTCCATATTAACACTCTCATAATCAAAAGTCACGAGACGAGGAATGATCAAGAAAACTAGTGCAATGACACTCTTTTATATATATATATATATATATATATATATTTCAAATTAATTTTCTTAAATACACTACTGTTAAAATTACTTTTATTTAGCAAGGATGCATTCAATTGATCCATATATATATATACTGTATAAATATATTCTGTATATATATATGGATGCTTCCTGTGCCGTCTTAAAGCAATTGCCTCAGGCTCTCTTTCTATATGATGCTTTCAGTCCCACCAAACTAGAATTCTTTTGTAGTGTATATCCTTTCATTTACATTAGTTTGTGCACCACAAAGGCTTTGGTGACCTCCTTTTCAGCAGTAATACGCAGCTCTCAGAGAGAGTGTTTGAATGTTTTTGTAAGCGCACAGGTTGGTGAAGTGGATGCTGTCATTTGCCACAATGGCAGCGCTTTTACAAGCTGTCCTCTGCCCGCCCTTCCCTTTTCAACCTCGCTCTGGCTAGCGGCCCACTCGGCTACTTAGTCCAATCACGCCACCTCTTTTATCCAGCCCTTCTTCCTGTAAAAGCATTAGCATAATGGAGGAATCCTGCAGAAATCATAAATAATAGGGTGCCGGTCTTATAAAACCCACTCCGCTCGATTTATTGTCAGCCGTGTCAAGGTATCGTGTACCTCCTCGGTGCCCCATGCTTTTAGCTCTAATGAGAATGCTGCTCCCGGGTGTGTGCATGTGTGTGCATGAGTGATTTAAACTGGGATGGGACAGACTGATTGGACAAGTCCTCTCTAAACTAAATCATATGCCAGGAAGATGTCTGGATCGTCTTTTCTGTCTAATTGGACCGTGGGCTCTTTGTCCTGGGACCGTGGTGGCTTGCTGAAGCACTGCTGCACCTTGTTCTTATCCTCTACTCAGCGCTCTAACCAACCCACTTGCATCCCATTCAAAACATTCCACAGCTGTAAACTAAAAGAGGACAAGAAGCAAGGGAAACGAAACAAAAGCAAACAAACGCCAGCTGAAGTTCAGTTGCTCAGTTGGTCCCATTCATGCATTCTTAAATAAAGGAATGCACTGGATATATTGAAGTGTCATTTTTGGCACCAAACAGAATTTAAAAAATGTGTTTTTCTAAACTGGTTTCCCAAACAGTCCTATTGTCTACCATTGTTAGTACAAACAGGTAATGGCGCAATCTTTTTTCGCAATTAATTTTACAATGGTGGATCAGTTAAGAAAATTTACCAGCCATAAATACTTCTTAGCAAGAAACTGTGTTATGCATTATTTATATTAAAATGTATATTTTTGTCCCTGTGCATATTTTCTAGCATATTAGTGACAAATAGTGCAGGTCGTGTGTCACTCACAGATGAGACAGTCTCCATTTCTCCATAAAACGCCACCTGTTACAAAATATGAAGGCACATAGTGATTTTGACCACTTATTTGTGAAATGAAAAATATTTTAATTTTTGGTAGCTTAACGTGAGGAATATTTCACATATGTTGCCACACTTACCACTGAAGTAAATAGAAAAATAGAACATTTAGACATTACTTCCCGTCAGTAGACAGTATTTGATTTAAATATCTCACATTGCTCAGTCTGTTTCAAGGGTAAGTGATGTAAACCATGTGTTATGTTGCAGATCTTAATAAAGTTGCTGACCAGCTGATAATAATGAGTTTTTACATGCTCGATGCCAAATAACAAATGACTTACTGTGTACTGGGATAGGAGTAACTGTGATGGGACAGCATTTGAACACTGAAAAAATAAAAAAAACACACTGTGTTATTGCATGGTTTTTATGATATTTATGGTTGTTTTTACAGAAGCTAAAGCCCACAGCAGTTTCTATGTGTTCTGTAAGACGGTCTGCAAGGCCATTCAGCCTGGAAAACTACGTGTTCACTGCAGAGACTGCAAACAAGGCACTCTTACTCTCAGCAGGGTACGTATATGTACACACAGTATATGCTTCTGTGATTGCTCTAACACCTAGTCCTAACTATCAACTTTGCATAGAAACTTACTTCTTAATTCAAAGATGCCAGTTTACTAGTGTCTTTTTTGTTTGGCATACAGAACCCATTTAGATACAATTAATATACAGAAGTTGATATCACTTTTATTCTCACCTTTATTTAAACTCTTAAAAATACAGTTTCTTTTTTGGCTTATGTGGTTCCATGAAGAACCTTTAACACCCATTGAAACTTTTTTTACTACACAAAAAAGTTATTTAGAGCAAAATGGTTCTTTAGATAATTAAAACGATCCTTAAAGTGGGAAAAAAATTTCTTTTGAGGTTCTTCGGGGAACTTTGCTGTGAAAAGGGATTAAGGGATAGTCTTAAAGGGATAGTTCACCCAAAAATGAAAATTACCCAATGATTTACTCTCCCTCAAGCCATCCTAGGAGCCCTGCTGTCTTGTGAACACGTGTACGACAGTTAGCGGAAGCTAGAGATTACGGTTTATAAAAGTTTTAAATATGGATATTTTTCTTACAAAAATGCTTCACTTCACTTCAGAAGGCCTTTATTAACCTCCAGAACCATATGGAGTATTTTTTATGATGGATGGATGCACTTTTTTGGGTCTCAAAATCTCCATCCCCATTCACTGCCATTGTAAAGCTTGGAAGAGTCAGGACATTTTTTAATATAACTCCGATTGTATTCGTCTGAAAGAAGAAAGTCATGTACACCTAGCGATGGCTTGAGGGTAAAGGTGTAAATCATGGGGTAATTTTCATTTTTGGGTGAACTATCCCTTGAAGGTAATCAACAGTAAAGTATTTTCATATTGAAGAATTTAGATTTATTTTTTTTTTTTTTGATTTAGGGTCATTGATGTGACACTCAATCCTAACTATTAATTTATTAAAATTAAATTAAACATGAATTTCATACATACAACAATTTGAATGCGCCTTTTGTATGATAAGCGTGTTTTTTAATTTCTGAATTAATATTCATAAATGGGGAATCAAGTAAAAGTGTTATACAAATGTCTTAATTTTTTTAATTATTATTATTATATTTTTAGAAAATATTATTTTATTTTATATTACTATGTTTGAAAAAAAAATATTATTACTTTTTATATATATAAATATATTACTTTCCTGAATCAAATATATTACATGAATTCAACATAGATACAATGAGTACTAAGAATTTGCCATGGGAAGAATTTCCCTTTTCTTTATTATGGATAATTGTACCATCATAGTTGGATCCTTGCAACTCTGGTTAAATCACTCGTTTTAAACAAGCTGTGGTGGGTTATTCTAATGCATCCTCATGCTCCAGCCACAGAAACTGCATCAATGAATGATGACTGTAGGGGAAAAGCCTGCTTATTATGCTTATTGCTGTTCTTTAGTCCACATTCATAAGCGCTTTGAGACAAAAAAAAAATAAAAATAACCAGAAACATTTGCTCGGTTGCCCCAAGTCTCATAACTAACTAACAGTGACACTTCTTAGCCTGAAGTATGAATACAGAACAGCACAAACCCATGTCTCGCTGCCCCCACACGGCTGTCATAAGCCCCATCCCTCCGTAGTTCCGCCCGTGGCCTGTTTTATCTTTCGGTCCGTATGGACTTTCTGTCCCAACGCGTGGGCAGCATTCCCACCTCTCCGCATTCTGTTGCTGTTTGGGAAGGCTGACTGACACGTCGCTAAGCTGCACCTGCCTTTTCTTTCCGCTCGCGGTGGTCTTTGGCGCTGAGAATCTGTTTGTCCACTGTCTCGGTGCCAGTGCTGCACCATTCCTTTGCCAATCTTGTGATGCGTCTGGCTCTTAACATCCTCGGGCCTGAAACAGGTTCCAGCTCTTCTCATCTAACTCTCTCCAGAGAACTTTCTCCAAATATGCTGAGGAGAAGAAGACGGCAAAGTTTACGCACTCGCTGTCAGAACACTTCATTTGGACCTTTGGCGATATTGGACTTAGCAGCACTTTCAATCAAATACATTCATCTCCATCAGCAACTCCTAGCTTAAACATCCAGCTTTGGCTTTTAACAGATTTGTGTGCATGATGTAGACACTTTTACACCAGGATCTTCAAAACCTACATCGCTGAATTAGGCCTTTAGGGGGAAAACCTGCTTATTATTGCTGTTACGAGTTTCTTTGCGCTTTGAACATTAATAGAAAATAACCTTGGCTTACATCTCTCCAGAACACAATTATGAGAAATACAGTTTTGACTACATTGCTGGCATTATAAATATCTCAATGTGCCCTAAGGCTTTAATTAGAAGTTTTAATTATAATGTTCGGGTTGTTCCCATTGTAATGAAACCCCCAGCCCCATAGATATTACATTACAGGCTTAGCATTTCAGATTTAATATTTGTCGTACATTGTGTATCAAGTTGAGCTATTTGGTTGTTTTTTCCATAAAGTTAATGAAATTATTTAACCATTTACTCACCTCATATTGTAATACATTATTATGTTGTATTTTTTCTGTGCACATAAAAGAGGACTTTTTGAAGAAAGTGCACTGTCCTTTTTTAAAATTACATCAGTTGCTTGTCAAGCTCCAAAAAGGACTATCAACACCAGAAAGGTTGTAAAAATAGGCCATATGACCAGTGACACAAGTGTGATGAGCAGGCTGAAATATAAAAATGTATTCTGTGTATGTAAAAATGTATTCAAAACAATTACAGGAAAATGTATGTTATTCAAAGTCAAAAGCAATAGTGAAGTCAAAATAATATATGGAGCCAATGGTGGACAGTAATGAAGTATTTTTACTTCATTAACTGTACTTAAGTACTATTTTCAAGTATCTGTACTTTATCAGAGTATATATAGTTCATTCATGAAACTCTAGATTGCTCAGGCTGACGGGGTGTTAACGTAACTGATGATATTCAGAGAGTTAAACGACTTGGCACAAGCTGATTGGTTCATGCTGCTTATGCAGCCAATGAGCTTACTGCCTTGCATTTATATGGCTGGTTAGCATTCACTTGAGATTCCTGCAGCACGCTTTCAAAGTTTCTCTGAAAGCCTCCACCTTCCCCAGCTCCACCTGTATAGATCTGCTACGGGTTATTTTATATGCTATTTGTGCAGCAGCAGTATGTCTTAAATAGTCATGGCACCGTATCGCCATATGCATTGGCAGTAGCAAGTTCCTGTATTTGATTGCAGCAGCATCAATAATCTACAACTACAGCAATAACCAACAGCAGCAGCAATTCAGCAGCAGCAGCAGCAGCGTAGCATATCTATTCCGCAAAGACCAAATACATTAACATTGTCATGTACATTACCTTGCTAAAATCTTCCAAGAGTTCTCATGATTGAAATATTTTTACTTTTAGAAGCTTTTACTTTTGCTTCACTACATTTGAAAGCATAATATATACTCTTTACTAAACCTCATTTCTTAAAAACGTGTCATTTCTCATTATTTTGAACTGGAGAAATCGACATCCTCTTTAAATCAGGTCACGACTCAAGTTGTCCGTGAACTAAATCTGTTGTAAAAAGGACGAGCTGTTAAAACCCGGTGTTAGAAAAGCTTGAATGCAAACATGTCCATGTGTGTATCAGCGGCGTATGCTTTATGTAAAACAAGACATAACTTTAAAATAATGCAAATTAATGCCCATGCATCTTCCCAGCTGCCGAAGCGGTTTCAAATGATTTTCAAACTAGTATATTTGCATAGCGTTCTTCTTAAAATTGTATACATTTTGCCCTATGTGACATCGGTTTTAAAGTATATTGTTTGTCAACACGCATTTAGGTTTTCCTAATACTTTTTTTATTGCTTAATGTATTGTAACCTGAATTGATATTTTAATATATTTATTGTTTTGATAGTGTATGACAAACCCCCCTCCCTCAAGTATTTTGAGCAAGTAGGATTACATAATATATTTATATTATATAATATAAAATGATTAAATATAAAAGTATATATTACAAAAGAAACGTTAATCGATCAGTACTTTTTACTCATAATACTTGAGTATGTTAAATATCAAATAAGTAAGGGATAATCAACGGTTTGCCGTGCATTTAAAATCCTTTAATGCACGGCAAACCGTTGATTATCCCTTACTTATTTGATACTTATTGGGAAGACACGGAGGCAAAGAACCAGCCTCCGCGAAGTGCATTTAAAATCCTTCATAAAATGGTTAGTTCTATTCCTCAATTCTGATTGGTCAGCAGCTGTGGTTTATTCATGATACAGCACGGCTATGACCACTTCACCCAACGGTTCTGTGTATCACTGAGCAACACCCTTAGCAACATAAACAATCAATAATATAGCATTAAAACTGTTCTGTGTATTATGTAAGTTATTTTGGCAAAATGAACTGTTATTTATTTAATGAAGTATGAGTGACCCCTGCTGGCGTTATGTTGCATCTTTCATCTTTAATTTTGAGACCCCGCCCTTTCCCCGTCTAATAAACGCTTCTCATGCGGAGATATGTTGATGTGTGTGCACGCGCGTCTGTGTGGAAGCCCACAGTTTCCGAAGTGAGGAGGGGATATTACTGAATTTATTAGTTTTCTGTTTTAAGGTATGATTCTGTATGTCTATATGTCCATCAGTTTACACTGTAATGACGCTTGCAAACTCGTGCTGTGCTGCGAATCGGTCTGTTTTAAAACTAAAAGACGGAAAACAGACATTTCCTCATGCTGAGAGATAAGCAGATATATGTGTGTGCGAAAATATCATATATGGTGTTAAAAAAATAAATGACACAGCGGATGATAAGAGCTCCTATGCTCTGTTTTATTTAAGCTCCATTAGATGAGGCATGTTACATAGGAACATTGTCTTGCAATTTACTGTTGCTGTCAGGAACTATTTTTTAGCGGAAGGACAGCATTTAACGAACTTGCTTCAAAAAAGTAACATTTCAATACATACATTTTTGGTTTTAATATTTTTT